GGCGCACAGCCAACACCAACAAATGGTGTTAGATGAATGAAAGGCTGGAGTTACAGCAGGACACATGAACACCATGTCAGGCACTGCACATCATGTACACTGAGATTTCAAAAATTCTTAAACTTCACATGCTGTGGAAATGTCCTGACTTCCTGCCTTTCCTGTGAGTTTCCAGTGAATAAGTGAAGGAGAATAGATGAATCGAGTTTTTCAATACAGCTGAATTATGGCTAAAGTAGCAACTGATAAAACAGTTGCGTGCTCAAACCAATAACGCATTAAACTGAGGTGTTTGTTGAAATTTTCATCCATTCATTTATTTTCTTAATCACTTATCAAAGTACACCTTCTACAGGTCACCACAAACTCACATTCGGAGCTACAGCCTTTTTTTTAATTAGCACCAGTCATGTTTAAAAGTATTCAAACCCCTGAAATTATCTGCCTTAAACCACAAAAGTGTCACGACACTCTGCTGTGCAGCTTTCGCTTAGTTTCACTGACACGGAAGGGCATTAAAGCGTTTCACACCCCTGTTTACTCTGGATTAGGTATCAGTGATAAAAATGTGTGGGTCCGACTGTGCTGTTCACATTGCCATTAAAGTACACGGTGTTCAGTAATCTGTGGGTACTTTACGAAAAAACATGAAGTCCAAATGTGAAAAACTTTTCTATGATTGTTAACATCAATGCGTATAGTGCAGTCTGCTGGCTTAATCCTCAGGTTATAACAAATTGTTGGTTTTGGTCTTTTAAGATGTCTTTATAATGTTATAAGTACAAAATAAAAACAACCCTGATCCATTAAAGGGGTCCTATTCTGCTCATTTCTGGCTCCATATTTTTATTCTTTTACTCTCCCAGAGTAGCTTTGCATGATTCACAATTCAAAATAATCCTCATTTATCTTAGTGGGCTTTTCTGCTGCCCCTCAGCTCATCCTCTGTCTCAAACCAGGTGTTTTAATTCCTCTCCTGGTAAGCCAACTTTCTACTGATTGGCTGGAAACTGAAGTGGGTGGGGCTTCTATGCTCAAAACCACAACTCTGTGCTTGAGACTACTTTCAGGCTATCCCCTCTAACATCATACATAAAGTAAAAATGGTGTTTCCCACAGAATAAAAATCTATTCTTGGTTTTGGTGAGAAAGAGGTGAAAGGACGCTGTCCTAAACTGATAACTAAATAATATCAATCACACTTTTGAGACATTAAATACCGAGCCATCACCTGGCTCTCAAGAAAGATCCTCATCCCACGGAGGGATGGTCTACAAAGAGGCGCCCACACAGAAAGCAGAGACTGAGAAATTCAGCGACGTTGAGCGACTTCTTGTGAAGACAAGAGAAATAACTGCAGGCGAATCAGAAGTTTAGCTTTGCGGTCAACGATTAAAGCAACTGCTGAGACAAGAGCGAGAATACAGAATAGACTGATATGAGAGGTGATAGACGCAGTACGTGGACAGAAGTGCTGAGCCACCTACACATTACACCTACAGGAGCTGCTAGATGCCGTGAAGCTCCTGGTGCACAGCTGTTGTGCTGATGTTAATGCCAAAGGAGGTTTGGAGCTCGCAGTATACGCCTCAGCACCCAGCAACCCCATTCTGTAACTGCATGTGGTCACATGGCTGAGCTGCTGTGGTTCCTAAAGTTTTCCACTTTGCAATTATATCACCTAAACTTGATTGTGGAATAGTTAGGAAGGAATCTTGTTACAGGACAACTCTGGAGTGCACTGAGCTCATTCTTTCACAAATGTTTGTGAAAGCAGACTGCACGACTGGGTGCTTGATTTTATGCACCTGTGGCAAAGCAGGGCCCATAAACTCTACATTAGAGAGTTACCTAGGCAAACAGAGCGAATGTCCTCTGGTGACCAACTGTCGACTAGAGCTGCCCCTCGGGGCTGTGAAAGAGCTCCAGACCAGAACTAGTACCAACCTCCTGTCAGAATAATGCTTTGACCAGCTGGCCTGTAGAGAAAGGACCAGAGCTAGCTGTTTAACGGCGATTGAAATGTCAAAATAAGAGTGAGGGGCTTGACAGTCATGTTAGATGGCTGTAAGAATAAAGATTAATTGCAACATATACCTGTGTGGCACACCCAAGTGAAGTCTAGGTGTGGGAAACACTGTTCGAAAGATCTGGATGAAACTCAAATTTTTTGGTTATTGGTTTCGGCTGTATTTATTTGAAAGAGGAGTGAAAGAAGCCATCTATGTCCACTGTGAGCG